CCCGGCATGGTTGTTGGAACTGATATGTCGGAGCCGATCCGATCACATGTGGACCTTCAGCAGGAGGAGAAGAACGCGAGGTAATGTCGGGCGAGGATTTCTAATTATATTTACTTATACGCTCATCCCTCTCGAAGTCCATCATAAATCATTAAATAAATCTTCATCATTAAATTTTATTGTTAGTAATTCCCGTTGTAGTTTGCCTCACACGAATATCAGATATACCAAGGCGGCGATGAAGTACTACAACAGCATTGCCACTCGAGCCGTCCACGCGGGTATGGCGGTTGACATTCTGGCCTGTAATCTGGATCAAGTGGGGCTGTACGAGATGAAGGTGGTCAGCGAGAAGACTGGTGGCGCCGTGGTCCTCAGCGACAGTTTCTCCATGCACGTAATAATTACTCCTTAGTTGGTCGTTGATTGATTCCATCATGGTTAGGTCTTCAAAGCGTCGTTCCAGAAGATGTTCGAGCTCGACCAGGATGGGTACCTCCAAATGGGGTTCAACTCCAAGATTGATGTAATACACTCCTATCGTTTCTCCCTAACCTACGCCCAGCCAACCGGAAATCGGACGCTTGCACTCTGGGTAGGTGCTCACATCGAGGGAGTTCAAGTGCTGTGGTTGCATCGGTGCATGCTCGAGTGCTGGCAAGAAGACCGCATCAGTGGCGGAAACTGAAATCGGCGAATCAGGTGAGGAGCTCTACTGCTACCAAGTCGGGAAATGCTCTTTTCTGGCAGGCACGACTCAGTGGACGATGGGTGGCTTAGACAAGAATACAACCTATGCATTCTACTTCGAGCCGACAGCAACCCAGGCAGCATCGGGTGGTGGACCACGTCAGAGTTACTTACAGTTCCAAACACTGTATAACCATCCAAGTGGGCGGAGGCGTTTGCGGTAATGTTGAAGGCGCTCAAGTCCGCTTGTGGGAGGTCCTGTTCTCCTTATTCTTAGAGTTACTACGGTGTCCACGCGCTATGCTGACCAAATATCTGATATCGCCACAGGATTCGACCAGGAGGCGGCCGCAGTTCTTATGACGAGGTAACGTCTAGTGTCCCTCCAACCGACGACTCTGTGCTCCATCTCAGGTTTGCGGTGACCAAATGCGAGACGGAAGATCCGCTGGATGTCATGCGATGGGTCGATCGTATGCTCATTCGGCTGATCGCTCGGTTCGCTGATTATAGGAAGGTGAGATTCGGCGCATCCTCTCGCGAGGATATCAGGGGCTCTCATTGTGTTGTAGGACGAACCGAATTCTTTCCGTTTGGCGAAGGAGTTCACCATCTATCCCCAGTTGATCTACCATCTCAGACGATCCTCCTTCCTACAAACCTTCAACGCATCACCCGATGAGACTGCGTAGGTTCGTCCTTCGGGGTCACTCCCCCACTTCTTCCCTTCTAGGTATTATCGTACTATCCTCATGCGTGAGAATACTAACAACTCTCTAGTGATGATCCAGCCTGCGCTCTTACAGTAAGCCTAGTGCTGTTATCAGGAGCGAAATCGGCTTGTAGGTATTCATTCGAGGAAGGTCCGCCGCAACCGGTCCTCTTGGATTCTACATCGTTGAAGCCCAATGTTATCCTATTGCTGGATTCGTGAGTCTTGGCCGTCTGGAATGGCCGCCTATAGTGGTGGTCTTCAGTTACTTCCATGTGGTGATTTGGAGAGGAGAGACTATCCAAGCCTGGTTTGAGGCAGGCTACCAGGATAAAGAGGAATACGCTAACTTCCGCCAGCTACTGGCCGCCCCTGAGCAGGACGCCAAGGCGATCCTCAACGATAGATTCCCGGTAAGTGCTCGTGTTTTCAAGGCAACTTTGATTGCCAATTCTGTTGACTGTAGGTGCCTAAGTTCGTCCAGACGAGCCAGGGTGGCTCCCAGGCCCGTTTCCTTACGTCCAAGGTTAACCCGTCGGTCACTCAGAACTCGGCATCTGGAGGGTTCGGGGACGGCAACTATGACGGTTCTGTGGTGAGATATTTCCTCGAGAGTCTTCGTGGAGCTCTGATGTGTACTTCACTCAGGTACTCACTGATGATGTGAGCTTGCAGAAGTTCATTGAGTGCTTGATCAAACTCGCTGTACAGTCGTAGTCGATGCCATTATGCTTAACAACCTGCCAACTGTTACCGTTAAATTTTATCATAGTGGTTTCCTGGTACGACCGTACTTGATGATTTGTGTTGATGTCATAGCAATGCCCCGGAGGAGTATTCGACTGGCACTGTTACGGTAACGAAGTTTGTATATGTATGGCGATCAGAATTGTGGGATCGGCACGTGTAGGGAGAATCCAGACGCTTGCATGTGCCACTATTTCGATCTATTCCTAGGCTTGTATTCCCTCACCAACACGACAACCGGAAGCCGTGGCCACTTCCCATGAATTCAGTGCGTAGCATCTCTACTGAAATTGTGTCTTCAGAAGCAAAGAGAGAAAGTGTTGGAAAGTTATGTAACTATTTGTTCTCTCAACAACGATATTGCAACTCCGACAATATATCGAGACGAAGGGAAAATCTCCATAGCAAATTGCACCCTTTCACACATGAACAGAGTGCCGCTCGAAATTTGTTCACAGAAATTCTGAACTTGGAATTTGGAACTCGGAGCCTAGAAATTGAACGAGCCCCAGTCGTTAAATTTTCAGTGATCAATGTGGGTTTCGGTTGTCGCTCATCTTGAGCCCTCTTGAGATTCTCTCTGGCGGGTCACCATGTAAATATTTCATTAACAAACGCAACACTGAAAAAAGATCGAATCATATCTTGCAAAGATTGTTAGAAAAAATCTAGTTCGAGTAGTATCAGAGGATGAGAGTACGTAAGATCATCTAGCCTGGGCAGCAATCATGGCGGCAGCGTTCATTTGAGCCTGATGTTCCTGAAGTTCCTCAACGGCCTTAGCGGCCAACTGGACGGCCTTCGCCATAGCGCTTTCTGTCAGTACCGACTCGGATTCAGGACAAGCACCGAATGAAGTCGCGAACTCCAATGCAGGACTGACAAGGGCGGACCATGCCACCGCTGGGCCACTTCTTCAGCTCACTCTGGGCCCTCGGGCATTTCCATACGACGACGTCTCAACAGTTGAGTTCTCAAGTTGATCACCTCCGCATTGACCAATAGAATCTGCCATAAGGTGATCCTTGGCATTTGCATGAGCAAATTGATGTGGATGGAAGGACTGCGAAACACCTCGAATTTCCGTTGGCTACCTTCTCAGACAGCAGTTCGCAATCTAATCGTGCTAGGTCTTTCTGAAGACCGATCATAGTGGTCTCCAACCCATCACCAGGAGTGTTAATAGTCGGACTGCACCACACAAGAGGCTACACTAGACCCTCCTCGTTGTCATTCACCCGCGTGGAGGATCACCCACAGCTTGTGTGTCCTTGAAGCTCGGATGGACGAGAGCCGTTGGTGACAAATTATACATCCCATTCGGGTCTACACGAACGGACTATACAGGGTAAAGAGTCTCCCAGGATATGCTCACCTTGCACTGTGTTATCATGTCCCTGCCAAGGTAGAAGGTCCGAATATCTAGGCCAATGCTTTTGGGCCCACATCACATACTCATTGGCGAGTCTCATCAGCATTGGTGGGACCTTCTGGCGAATAAAGCCGACCTCTTGGTGCTCGTCCAAGAGCTTCCTAGCCTTCGATATCATCTGGTCCAGTTTCTTCCTTATCTGGCCTGCAGTCTTCGGGGCCGCCTCGGGATTCAGTCCGGACATCGCAGCTGCTATGTTATGGTATAGCTGATCGCGTAACGCTGAAAGGACGTATGGGCCGTTGATGCTCCATAAAGGTCTCACTAACACTTCCCTCTTCTCGAGAACGTAAGATTTCCCTGTTGTCGATGGCCATGTCGACCAGCAGACGAATTTCTCCATCGGAAAAGTGCTGACGGGCGGGCCGTATGAGCTGCTGAGTATCAACTGTCCGGCTTTTTGAGGAGGACGAATTCACCTAGAAAATATCTCGCGAAAATCTCGGCCCAAGGGTCCTACCTCGGTGTCGATGCCAGCACTGCCCATAGGGGCCACCTCATCCACGTAGACCACACCGTCGATTTGTGATATCAGTCTCCCTGGACTAGACATAAGGTATCATCACTGCGCACACCATTGACATACTCTATACTCCAACCACACTGATGGGCATAGAAACAAAGAGTTTCTATTGTGAACCGACTTTTGTTTCAAACACTAGTCAGAAACTGGTATCAAACATGAGGCTGATAGCGTTATTCCTACTCGTACGTACATGAGCTGTGGACCAGATGGCATTTCCATAGTGTCGCTCAATCATCCTATTTTTCACCACGTACTCTATAGTCGGTATCAACTCCCCCTGTAACTCTGCTCAGCCTTGCCGAGAGCTCAGTCATGAATCGAATTAGTTTCATTGACCGCCATTAGTCTTCCTGAAACGCGAGAGCAACACGACTAGTAGTAGAGAAACTGTCAAGGGTGTCCACAGATGTGCGCGGTAACTTGAAGAGTTTTTCGTGCAAATTGCAAGAAAACTCTCAACTGAGCGGTCGAAATCAACAGAAGATTTTTTCAAATGTTTTACCCTCAATTCAACACCCGTATATCGCATAAAGGCCAGCCTGGGATAGCAGCGAACAGGCAGCCTCTCGGGACCTCTCTCTCGCCCAGTAGAGTCCTGAAAAAAGTCTTCGCACAGTTCTCGGGCCCGAACGGGATGTCGGGCACGCAGTGGGCCAAGATGTGCCACCAGGCGGGGCTGGTCGACTCTGCGGGGGCCCCCCTCACCTCAGTGGATGCCGATCTGGTCTATGTTGATGTAATACGGGCTCGAAGAAATGCGTGTCGAGTCAGCTCTGGAAATTCCTCATTACTAGGTACAGCGACGAGAGTTTGAAGTGAAAGGGATGAAGTTCCCCTTCGAGGTCTTCGCCCAGGAGGCCGTCCCAGCTCTGGCTGAGAAGGCCGGCCTGTCGGTACATGCTGTCATATCGCGACTGGCTGCGTTGGAACAGAATCTCAGCAGTGGAACTCGGCCAACTCTGACGGACAGTTCCGGGCCGAGGGGGAGGGGGTCCAGGTGAGCTCGGTTGTGGCCAGGTACACTCGGGAGTGGTCTCCTTTTAGTGCTCCCGAGGCAGAGAGTGCTGGTCCGGCCCGGCTGTATTACGAGCACCGTAGACGATCCAGCAGCCAAGGCAGGAGGAATTTCAGGAGGCGGTCGGAGGCTGCCGTTATGGAGGCGCAGCCGAGCGCCGGGACGCTCGACCTCTCACAAATTTGCGACCGAACTGCAGCGGATGTCCGCGGATCGAAAAAAGAGAAATCATACGTCCCTGGAATGACCACTCATTCTGTACTAATCTCGAACCGGCTATCTCAGTCGACCCGGAATCTCAAGACTCCCGACAGGCGGAGTGGGTCGGTCTCTACTGCTAGCCTTCAGGGTAGTCGAAGTGAAATGGTTGGACCCGAAAGGTTCTATTATGATACCAAATCGTACACCGGGACTGCCAAACGGTCCCTAGGAGCACCTCCACTGGACAAGTCCCATGCTGGTTCCTCGCTGGAGGGCATTGGGGAGGTGACCGAGGAGGAGACGAAGGGAATGCTCATGGACCGACGGCAAGTGGCTCAGGGCAGGCCGGATCGGTCGGTCCTGTCGGTGACTTCGTCGGCCGCAGTGTTGCCCATGGCAACCCCAGACCCACTGGAGAGGAGGGTACTGCATCATTCCCCCTCGATGGCTTGCCTTCCTACCCTACCACCAGCGGTGTCCTACCCTGTCCAGTGTGCTGGTGGCCTCAGTAGTATGCCACCTGCGGTCCGGCCGCAGCTCGTGCCTAATCCAGTGGTGTACTCCCCGATGGTCCCTCTCGCACCGCAGCGGCCAACGACGGTTATGTTCGCTCTTTCGTCGCCCTTGGATATCCCTCCTGGGCCAAGGATGCGACCCTTGGTGATCGACAGTTGATGGAGTTGCTGTTCATGGCCATGACTGTGCTCATGTCGTACATTACCAACGTACATGTTGTGTTGGTTAGCATAGTGGCAGCGGAGGGAACCGCTTAATTGCTTATACTGCAAGGTGGTATTTGAGCCTTGAAGTCGATCGTACAGTTTTACCGAGTGGATCATAGTGTTGTTCCTGACGTGCTCTTATCCAATAGCATTGTCATTTTCAAGCGCACTTAGAACAACTGTGTATAAAGAGACTGTGAAGGCGGCATGGTTCTTGATAGGTCTGGCGATTCATAGGCCGTGAGTCAAAGGGGCCTGTTGCTCACTGGTGGTAGGAGCTGACTCGCAAATTGTGCTGAAATTGAGTTTTCGAGTAGACGTGGGGCTCTGCTCGGACGGCGAGAGTAACCTTCAAATATCCGTCTTAGCATCTGGTCACTAGAAACCATGCTCCACCAATCTCACCAGCGGCCTTCAGGAGGCAAAGGGAATTACTCTCGGGGGTCACTGGTTGGCCGTGGCCGTAGTGGACAAGGTCGGGAGCCGAACACCTATAGGCCTTCCCAGGGCACTCACCGATCGCCGATCCTCCCTATCCCACGGGTGATCTCACGCCGCCTAAGACTGCATTTCTTATGGTCAACTACATTTGTTGGTGGCGATATTAAAATAAACAGAAAATTACGGAGCTTAATTTTCATTGCTTGCTGTACACTTCTACTCGCAGTCGTGTGTGAACTTCTAGATTCCCGAGGAAACTCCTGAGCTCAGCTGATGAAAGCGAACATATATTCCAACACTACGATGTCGCATTTTTCTTTCACTTCCCCAGGCCGGTAGCGTTCCGAACGGCTTCCCCCCGAGCAAACTCCACCATGGGGGTGGTCTCCTCCCCCCTCCAACCGGTCCACCGATCACTGTCCCTTCCCAACAACGGTCACCATATAAGAAGGCTCTCCCACCGCCGCCGCCCACCTGCCATTTGCTGACTCCCGAGGAACAAGCCATGTGGGCTAGCGCTCCGTGAGACCTCCCGCCTCCTGAGTGGATGTGGCCAAGCCCGGTGGTCAGGTACGCCTGTCCTGGCTGTGGTAGCCCTTTTATGAAGTGGTCCCAATGCGAGACGCACTTGGTTTCGTCTGCTATTTGTCAGTCTGTGGTGAGTGGAGGAGACGAGAAGCAGTAGGCATTGCATGACCCTTACGATGTACGAGGGCATCTCAGGCAGTGCGAGGCCTTCGCGACTGCTCACGCCGGAGCCCTCCGTCCTCCGACAGCCCCTGCCCTACCGAAGCCCCATCGGAAAGTGTCGACCTCTAGTAGGACTTCTGGTGGAAGGAGTAGGGAAGGCCGGCAGAGGGTGGAGACTGAACGGGAAATCCAGGTCGGCTGGAGGTTTACCATGGGTTCGCTCGGCCTCTCCAGCGACTCTACAGAAAAGGAGGGTCGATTGTGGTTCTCAAGTAGTGTCGTAGCTGAGCTTTTTCTGGCACTACGAGTCCGTTTTGGGTGTTGTTATTTTGCGATATGAATGAACATTGCCTGTGGCGGCGTGGTCGTTGCGGTGTGGGTCTTCTGAATCCACCTTCACAGGCTATCAAAGACGAATACGAAAAGGCAATCTTTGGTGGCCGTCGCGGATCGATGTCGACTGTGAGCGGCGCGAGTCCGAGCAGTGGAGTGCCTTACTGCGATACTTCCGATCGCTCTGGTACCATCGGGGGCCCTATGGACTACCATGACAGGATGGGTCATGAGTATGGCTCCTCGGGGTAAGGCCCCCCCACCTCAGCTGCGTCGAGACCATGCGGTGTAGGTTCGGCCGAGTGTGTTTGATCTGCCAGATGGGGGAGTCTAGCTGTGCCCTGGCTCCATGTGGCCACATGCTGGCCTGCTACAGCTGTCCTAGGGGAGGGAGTGCCTCGAGACTGAAATCATCTGCTGGTCTTAGGCACTCTAGCACTGCAGCTCCAAGAGTGCCCCTGTTGTGGCTCGCAAATCCATCAGCTTATCCATGTTTGCCCAGTGGACATAAGGTCAGCCCGTCCTCCATAGTAATGTAGTAGTGTTGGTCATAGACACTATCATCTGAACATCTTCAACGGCAATGGCCTTCAAATGAACGGAGCCGGCGGTAGCGTGACCATCCCCCGCATACAGGTCGGCTGCTTGGGTCGAGAAAAGGGCCCTAGGAGTTCATCAGGACTTCACTCCTAGCTCTGGGACGTCGGGTATCGACTCTATAGAGATCAACACGGAAGGGTCTTGGAGACCCCCTATATGATCTACTGCTACGCCCGACTGCGAGTCTTTCGTAGTAGACTAAGTAGTCCCGGCGCTGGCACTTGTTGTTTCCTTAGACCTCCGACTTGCCTACCTCCGGCTCGACTGTTGTTTCAGTGACTTGTACTATTACTTTCCAAACGAAGCTTTATTGATCAATCATTCCATCTATGTTTCCGAGATGGCAGCCGAGGCGTGTCCCCTTCCCTTGCCATGTAATAACAGTTCTGAAGACAGAGTTTCGTGGCGCGTGACGGAGAAGACCTAAGATGACATGTCCATCCTGTGTGCAGCATGGTTACTACTCATGCTACTGCCGATCGATCCTATGCGTGCTGTTAAGCTTTGCGTTCAGTCATGTGGAATTCGGACTTACATTTTTCACAGGCTTTCCTATAGGAGCTAGAGCCGTCTAGCCATTGTCGTTATGCCCACTGGCAGATCAATAGTCTTTGAAGGTGTTGATACTGAGCCTGTTGCTACTGGCCCGGTAGCCCCTGCTGGTCACCCTTTTATTGCCAGTGGAGTCCCCTCCATATGATCTTGGCAGTATTCGCGGACAAGTATACTAATTTAGCACTATTAAAGTGAAGACACAGATGTCACTGGCCGGACAGGCACCGTGACAGATTGACATTCGCAGGGTCTTTATTCAGACCACGCGTTCAACAGCAAAGTTTCGGGAACAGCCCTAGTCGGGTTGGACATATCATTTGGGAGCTCAGATGAGCGGCACGAGGAGGGAAGGTTGGATGGATCTCATTGCAGAGGAAATGGTCCGGACCCAGTTTTCTGGGAGAGACGGATTTAAGCCCTGCGACCGAAATAAGCCGTATTCGAAAGAGTCGAGTGCTGGTTTACCCGGGCTGAGTAGGTCGACTTTGTAAGCAGCCAACTTGCCAGCAGCTCTCGGTTTGCCGCCTGGCTCGAGAGAAAGAGTGTGTGTGGGAGAGCAGTATGGTACGGGGTCCATATTGAGTGGTCCAGGATGGTCTTCGGGGACACGGTCGTATAGCACGTTCTGGGGAAGGGGAATGAGGTGCCTTGAGGAATGACCCTTCGGGAGAGAGGTGGCCCGACGGACAAGCAACATGTCGGTGCTTGAGGTCGCCAAGAAGTTTCTGGCTGTCTTTGCCGTCAATAGCCCATCCTATGCATCCATGCACAATGCCATCGAATTATGCATGTTGTTTCTCCTCTCATATTCTCTTCCTGTGTTACAGTAGGCTCCTGTAGTATCACTAACAGACTGCACTCACGTCTGACCGTCGGTTTTGTGGTATGAAATAGTTGATAGAATGAGTGAGAGTACTACTCTCCTGTGGCATCATCACATAACACAGATCTGTGAGTCACAGACGGTGACAAGATAGTGAAAGATAATAGTCTTCCTAGTAACTTTCCGTGAAGGTATAGCGAGCGACTGCGCGATTTCTCATCGATTCCCCTCGGATTTTTGGACGTGACTTTCTGCGGTGTTGGAGACCTCGATAGACGAAGCCTGCGTGGATTGAAATAACGACCACCAAGGCGACGACGCAAGATACAATCATTCCGTCACCGACACATCATGGACATTGTACCCGTCCCATTATACAAACTATGCATTCGTGTAAGGTCATTGTCTAACACAAATCATAACTTGGATTTGGTCAGCGCGAAGATGTCTCCATCACAACGTGTTCAGCATAACTAGCATATTTTGTGGTATTCGTCTCTGACTAACTCAACGCAACTGCAGGTATGTCACACAGGGAATAATCAAAATACTAACAAACTAAAACACTTAGCGCGCCTATGGTTCAAAGATCTGAGAAGTTCACGTCCACCGAAGTTATCCAAAGTTAAGGTAGTGGCTAATTGGAGCTGCGCATCATAGCCATAAACTCATCAAAATCTATTTCTCCATCTCCGTCCAGGTCGACCTCGCTGATCATCCTCCTCACAGTGTCTTGACCAAGAGCAGTCTTGACGTCATCGTTACTGAGAACCTTCTGCAACTCGTCTTGAGATATCTTCCCATTCCCATCGAGATCGAACAGCCGAAACGCGGCCCAACACACATCTTCTTGAATGTACCTGTCGATACAACCTCGCCAAATTATCACATACATCATATCACGTTTTCTTGTCAATAGTAGCTGCGATAAACTCGGTATAATCTATAGCACCAGATCCATCAGAGTCTACGTCCCTCATTATCTCCTCAAGATCAGCAGGCAGCGACACATCCAGTGACCTCATCCCTATTTCAAACATCTTCCTGATACCACTGTGATCTCGACAACCGACCTTCTTTGATCTCCTGCACAGTCAAAGTGCCATCGCCGTTTTCATCCAAAGCCTGGAAGGTCTTCTTCAGACGCTCAATGTCCGATTCGGCCAGCTGCTGAGCGATGACCGTTAACGCGACCTGAGAAATTGCAGGATACTGTATAGGAAAACCCCATGATCGCTAGCTGCTCATCATCCCATATAATAAGCTCGGATACTACCTTCTTCATCTTGTTCTGTGCTCGGAAATTCCTCAATCCAGAAACTACGTTACGATGCTCTTCAGCATCGCCATCAGCAGTCTTCGCCAAGTTCTTGATCCATCTATGGCCGAGAGCCTGCTCTGCCGTCCACCTGTGAAAAACTACCATGCTGGGTTGTAGCGATAGTCCACGTAATTACCTCTGTGCTTGGTCGAACGTCAATAGCTTGCGTATAAGATCCTTAGCGTCATTGCTGACATGCTTCCATTCCTCGTCGGGAAAGGTGTACTTTCCTGACTTCACTCGAGCCAGAATTTCCGCATCGGTATCACCATGGAAAGGAGGGTAGCCGCAGAGGAGGATATACCTGAATCGATTAAGTCATAACAACCCAAGCGTTCGGTGCTGCTCTTCGATGCGTTTCCAGAAAGGCTCCAAGAACGTTAAACCGCACCCCAGATGCAACCGAAATTAGCCTTCACCAACGCGGTATCACATTATGACTCCACAGCTCCACAGATCGCAGGACTCGTTGTATTCGCCTCTCAAAACTTGGGGTGAAACATAGTACCTAGGCCGCTACATTGGAAAGTAAACACAGCGTGAATCTCACGGTGTGCCAGCCTTAGTCTTCAAATGAACATCGCTCCCAAACTTGGAAGCTAAGCCGAAATCTATTATTTTCAAGGGGGAATTCTCCGCGTCGTTTAAGAAAAGAAAGTTTTCTGGTTTCAAATCTCGATGAACCTACAGCAAAAATCACAATTTCTTTCGCGGCAAATCCGACTGCATCTTACGATGTTGTTTTTATGACAATAGTACACCGCTGAAATTATCTGTTTCATCAAACTAGCCGCGCCACTCTCCGTGAAATAACCCTGGTCAATAATTCTGTCGAAGAGCTCTCCACCAGTACCTGACGACAGAGGTCCCCACAAGAAGGGATGAAGGGCCTTACACAGCTCCAGGACGAGATAGATATTCTTCGCATCTTCGAATGTTTCGAACAGTTTGACAATGTTAGGATGGTCGAGAGTTTTCATGATAGCAATCTGATAGTAGAGAACTCACACGAGCGGAAGCATTACGACGCAACGGACCTCCTGACGGAATCGAGCGACGTTCTTCAAATGCGATTTCGGTATTGTTTTAATAGCACGTACAAGCTTAGTCGACTTGTTAGTCGCCTTCGACACAGATCCATAAGTGCCTGACCATCTCACCAGACTACTCGCAGGCGTAGCTACCGAGCTCAGCTCCACCTTGACCGAGGGTCTGCTTCTCGACATCATACGAATCCGAGAGTAACTTCCCTTCGTTGTCGAGGATGAATCCAGAGCGCTGAATCGTCACCATACGAGAAACACCGCGGATGGCAAGGGCTGTTCCCCACGGCTGATAATACCCAAGATTGAATTAACTCAAGGAGTGGTATGATGACAAGAGACTTCGACTAGGATACCGAGGAACTAGCGGGGCATTATCCACCGCCTTACAATTGCTACTACTATTCGACATAACTAATGATAACATAACTACAGCTGCACCACCTACTTATTCACTCGCTTTTTCAAAGCCTGCCGAGTCTTCCTCATCTTAGCACTCATCCTAGACGAAGCTTTGTGACCCGTCTTGGTGGTTTCGGCCACTTGCGCAGCCGTCCATACCTCCGAAGATCCGTCAGCCTTCCTTATAGTGACCTTGGGGTCGACCTCGTCCTGCCCCTGACTTAACTCGAATTCACACTCACTAGCATGTGGCACCTTTTTCTTCAGCAGCTCTGCAACGGCCTTATGCAGGAGCGAGCCCTTGGTAACAAGACCCTGCGTGGACCGTAACGCCTCCACTGCTTGTTCATACACCTTCTCATCCCGATACACTTGCGGCTTACTAACCGTCTCAGTCGAGGCGGCCACTGCTGATTCTCGCTTCCGTTTAGTCGCCTTACTCTTCGACGGCGCCGAGCTTTCCTTGGACACCTCGAGAGGGCCTTCAGGGGTCCAACCGGCGTGTCTCTCCGGGTCGGACCGAGAGTCCTTCATTTCCTGCGCAACCGAATGCTTCTGAGACTTCTCTTCAACCTTGCAAACTTCACACTTCTGGCCGTCAACGATGATAGAGCCCTCGGCGATCCATGACGACCTTCGCGACTTGCCCGCTCGGGTGTTAAGGAAGGCGAACTGCGACTTCCTAGGCCAGAACACCTCCACCAGCTGGGACTTGTCGCCTCCGCTCTCGGCGATGCTCTTCACCAAGGCTTCGAACAGGGTTTGCGGCGTATGCCCCTTCAAATTGCCGACTTCAACAGACACCACAGTACCCATAGTGGGCCCGGTCGACTTCCTAGAGGATCTTCCAGAAGGCACTGGAGACGTTTCACCGTCAACCTTCTCCTGTTCGTTCTTAGCTGCATGTGCAACTCGCTCAGTAGCCTTGGCCAAAGTCGTCTTATCAGCACCGTGTGCAGTCTTCTTCACCACCTCAGCAGCCGACGCAGGCGCCTCGTCATCAGCATCTCCGCCGAACTCTGGAATAACAACGCCGAAGTCTTCGGAACTGACCGAATCGGTTTTGCTCGGGCCGCCAGCAGTGGCCAGAGGAGTCGAATCAGGAGCCTGCCGATAAAACAACTTTCTACCTCACGAATACTTCCCAAACTCACCCTAGTCTCCATCGAATTCCTTCGGGACTTCTTAGGCGTACTAAGCTTCTTCCGTACAGGCTCGGGGACAGTAGATGAGGTCGGTGCCTCCTTCGCCGGTTTACTCTTCTTGGGAGACTTCTTGCGCTTCTTAACTGGCGGCTCTTCCTCAGCATCTTCAACCGACTTATCCTTTCCCACCTCCTCAAGATGCTCGACCGGTTCATGCTTGGTCGCTGCTTTCACCTTCCCAACTGATTCATCCGGCTCATCCTCCATCACGGCTTTCTCCGTCGCTGTCTTCTCTTCAGCTGGTTTTCCCTCACTCACTGCGACAACCCCAACCGGTTTACCTTCAGTCATCGCCATTGCCTTCGACGCGGCTTCCTCGAATAAAAACTGCTCCTCAGAATCGCTGGAGTCGCTGCTATCGTCGTTGAGCAACCAATTACTACTCTCCGTAGCAGGCACGACCGTTTTCCGAGGGGACGACACAACAACAGCAGATTCCACAGGCTCCACTGCAGGGGCCTTAGTAGGAGAAGCTTTTTTCTGTGGTGTACTCACCTTAACAGGCTCGGGTGCTACTGCCGCCGGAGTAGTGAGATATTCAACTTCCTCAGTCGCCGACATCTCGACATCCGCCTCACTATTATTGTCATCGTCATCATCATCGCCGAACGTGGGAAGCTTGAATATATAGTCGGCCTCCCCACCAGAGGAAGAAGAATCATCGTCTTCGATTGTTGCCTCAAGCTCCGCCTGCCTCACTTCACTTGGCCGCTCAGCAGTAGATGATGGACTCGTCTGTGGCGCCTCCTCGAGTGATACAGCCTCGGGCATGACGGTAGAGGTATGAGGCTGCGCGGCCTCAGCACCACGAAGGATGTCCAATGCACTCATCTCAGACATGATGACATCTTTTCGGGGAGTAGACACTTTGGGAACCTTCACCTCCTCAGATGCGGACTTCTTGGGCGAAGTCGGCTGCTCAAGAGCCACACTCTCGGTGACTAGTGTTGCCTCGTCAGGAACTGCCTTTACCTTTTCCAATGACTTAGTCTTCTCGGCCGACTTTGTCTTCTCAGTCGACTTGGTCTTCTGTGCCGTCTTACTTTTAGCGGCATCGTTCTTCATTTTATGACGGTCAGCATCCAACCCTCCTTCAGCTGGGATCGTATATGTATAGTCCTTCGCCCTCAATGGAATGATCCGTACTTCCGGATAGTAGCCAGCGTTGATATCTCGGGCTTTGGCAACTTTACTCACCTCACCTGGACCGACCTTGGGACCTCTCTTGAGCACACCGGTCATGGTCTGGCAGCCGTGGTCGACTAGTAAGGGCCCAAGCCCAGTTAGAGAACCGTTGACCCAGGCAGGCGGGGTCTGACATGCGATGGTACCATCACTGGAAGTCGCCGCGAGGTGCTCCTCCGACATCTTGGGAGAGGCGGAAACGAGCTGAGAAATAAACAATACATATGCAACTCGGTAAAAAAACCGTTTTCATTTTTCCACTTTGGAGATCAACTTCGAATTTCAATACCAGGGCCGACCATCCCAATGGTAGTTCATGCGCAGACGCCAGAGAACATGCCTTCATCTGGCATGTCACTCAGATCATCTGAGTCAGATGATTCGAAGTAGACAGCGACACCGTCTCCGACGGGAGGAAGAGAATAGCTAGATTCTCAAGACGACCAAGTCGACTTTTGGTGACAACCTGTGATTGTGCGTTCCCCAACTGCCGCGTCATAAGTTCTACCCCTGCATGGCTCTACAGGCGGTTCGCAGTCAAATAGAAGCCGCAGTCTATAAGTGGACTAGGCCGAGACCCCCACGTCTGGGAGTGGCCGTACCACGCTCCGTAAGCCACCAAGAACAACTGTGTCTCCCCGGTGTGGTCACGACCTGACCTCTTCTCTCGATGCTGTTGTAATCGTTGTTCAGCCCCCCGGCACTGGTATCCTCTTCCACACCAACATGCAGACCATCCGTTACTCCCTGAGTCCCAAAGTCTGGGTGCTGGTCACTGGTGCTGCTCTCGTTGGTGTATTCAGCGGCCAACGTTTTGCCCAAACTGTCTTGCTCAGCAAGAACCCTCCTAATGTGAGCCCGTACGTTGCCATTCTTTATGCCCTTTCTAGCCCCCTCGCTACCGTGAAAAGCCGCCAGTGAGGCATCCCCATACTCCCGATGAAGACGAGGATGAGGACTAAGTCCGTCTGCTGAGGGCTTCCTTTGGGTTCTATTCAACCTATTGTCAGGTCCTTCAGAATCGCCTTCTCCTCGTACATCAGTCGACGAAGCGCTACATACTGTGGCTTCATCTCGACTGTCATCAGTGACCTTGTGAAGAGATCTCTACAGACATGCGTATTTTTTTGCTTGATCATTTGCGGAAAATTGTTATTCTCTCCTTACTTGGTTGTTTTGCGTCGATCGGCCTTCTGCTAGAGGCACTACTTGTCTTTTCAGCGTCGCTCTCACCGCATTCAAAATTTCATCCAATTTCACCTTCGCCGTATCGCACCATGTTTCGCTCTTCAAGTTGGCTTTCCAATTCGACTGCAACTGCTTCTGAGAATAGTACTACTACCCCCACATTCTTTCCGACTTCCTTATTGTTCCCACGAGTAGGCTACAGAGCCCCCAGTTGTTGTGGCGGCAGTCGGGATCGCACCCCATCCGAGGTCATGGCTCGCAAATCTCGTACTGTTAGCTGGGCCAGTGATTTGGATACGGTCATCAAGTGCCCTGGTGGCGATCCTCCACTTTTTGAAGGTACTAACGTAAGTCGTCTGGTCTTTGCCTCATGGGAGTTCGTCAGGTTTGTTGTGGAAGGAGAGCTTGCATTTGAAGCGTTGGAGCTTGCGCTGGTGTGTTATACCAGCGGATAAGGCGGCCATCCTTTGTTACGTTCGGAAGGGCGATCGGAACCCTTCTGAGGTATTTCTTGGTCATACCACTCCTCCATCAACTGATGTTGTTTCAGATACTTGAGCTCAATAGAAATATGAAGGTAACAGTATTTGCAGATGGTAAAAGCTGGGCGGTTGAGGTTGGCAAACGTGCACTGTGTTTTGATCTACAGTGTAACACGCCCGGTGGTTGTCATCATGTCTCAACGTAAGCTTATCTCATCATTGTTTCATAATCATCATCATCCGCACTCTTCGGTCAGTTTTATGCGCGCTGTTGGAGCGGCAATTGGTGATAATGAGATTGGGGTAGACTATAACATTGACGTCGACTATCTTTATAAGACTAGATCAACAAGTCTTCACAAGCTGCCTAAGAAGCCGTCTCTTGTCCATCGTTGTGAATGCCCTCGTTATTTTTGTTGAACGAGGCGTTCTATATTATCTAGTGGAGGAGAAGGAGGAGGAAGTGTGTGAACGATACATGTTCATACAACAGAGGTCACTATTGTTGATGCTTGTATTCATGTCGCTCTCGTCTGTTTTTGGTAGCCTTATTAATGGTATGAAAGAGTATACTACTTTGGTACACTAGCAAGCTGTCTCTACATGTGTTACCATCCAGTTTAGTAGTATGTATCATTCTTCATCACACTCATCATAGCAGTGGTGATCAATATATTCAGTGCAGCTATCAGGAACTATAGCATGCCGCCCTGGATCCCACCATTGCAATGGTAGAGTGTTATCAACGTCACCGTCGTCGCATCACGGATGGCTTTGTCTTTACCTACAACTCTTGAGCCTGTAATTGTTATTAGTCTTGCTGGTCTACATATATCTCTTATCGCTGCAACTGCGTCCCAAGTATAGATGCCCTCGGAGATGATCACTACTATCACTGTTATACCGACCCAACACTGCCAGGTGCTCTGTCCAGTATCCTCTCAATTACCTCCTTGTTGAGAGGGTCTCCTCTACTGTTCGATAACCACATTGACAATACCGCCGCAAAATACTACTTATTGTCTAATCGTTATCGTCTTCCGCTTGGCTCTCCCTATGCCAAGATTCAGCAGTAGCTCTCTCTCCGAGGTGTCCTCACATGTTAGAAGTCAACTTATTATTCAGCGTCTTACTTGTAACATAGCCTCGATATCTCGTGTCGCTCGGACTTGGCAATGGTTGCTGGCTGTCTGGGATCTCATGCTTCTGCTAATACACAGTCAGCTGCTGCCCTACCGTCTCCGTTGCATTCATGCGAGTTATCATCCTCTGCTACTGTTCTGGACCTTCCCCGCATAATTATTCCCGTAGTATCGCCCTTTACAGTGACTAGGAATGAGGGTCGCTTTA